GGTGGTGCATGCCCATAGTCCCAGCTACTTGGGAGGATGAGGCTGGAGAATCACTTGAATTTAGGAGGTGGAGGTTGCAGTGAGCCGGGATTGCACTATTGCACTCCAGCCTGGGCAACAATAGCAAAATTCCATCTCAAAAAAGCAAAAATTCTGGTGGTTTGCCACCTCCAGCCATTTCGCTGGTCTTTCTCGTCAACCACCACTTCCAATCTTCGAGCTGCTGATTTATTACAGCTTGTATATCTCTCCATATTTCTAAGCAAAATGTTTATCTTTTTTAAACTTTTAAATTCTTTTTATTATTTTTCAAAGATAGGGTCTTAACTCTGTCGCCCAGGCTGGAGCACAGTGGGACCATCGCAGCTCACAGCAGCCTCAAACTCTTGGGCTCAAGCAATCTTCCCGGCTCAGCCTCCCAGGTAGCTGGGACTACAGGCACATACCACTGTGTCCAGCTCAAAATGTTTCTTTTGATATAGCAATCTAGACCATTATTAAGGTGGAGGCTTTCGTTTTCTTAAACAGCCATCCCCTTTGCTTTTTCACCCTTCTGCGTCACCTCCCCATTCTCCCAATGTTTTACCTTTTGGTTAAATCAGTACTCATTGTTTGCATTATTTGCCTCTGCACATAGTCACAGATGGTATTGTACTGTACTGCCTTTCTTTTTTAAACGTTATTTCCATTGTTAATAATTGCCTTTTAAATTTTTTTCTCCAGTTTGTTTTTTAAAGAGATGGGGGTACTGTTGCCCAGACTATAGAGTTCAGGGGTTCTTCACAGGTGTGAGCCCACTGCCGATCAGTACAGGAATTTCCACCTGCTCCATTTCCAACCTGGGCCCGCTCACCCCTTCTTAAGGAACCTGGTGGTCCCGAATTCCTGGGAGGTAAACATATTGATGCCAAACTTAGTGCCAACACCCAGTCAGCATAGCGCACGCAGACCGGGACTCCAGGGCTCAAGCAGTCCTCCCACCTCAGCCTCCTGAGTAGCTGAGACTACAGACACTTGCCACCATGCCAGGCTGATTTTTGTATTTTTTGTAGAGGTGGGGTTTTGCCATGTTGTTCAGACGAATCTCAGATTCCTGAGCTCAAGCTATCCTCCTGCCTTAGCTTCCCAGGTAGCTGAGATTATAGACACATGCCACCACACCCCCATGATAATTGTCTTTTTTTTTTTTTTTTTGCATAGTTTTCTTTGTACATTTTGCTAATTCTTCCCATATCTTCTTACAGCCTTTCAGAACAATTTTCCACAAGATCAGTGAGTGCTGTCCAGTAGACATATAATACAACCCACATACATTATTTTACCTTTTCTTGTAGCCATAGTAAAAAACGTTCAAAAGAAGCAGATGAAATTAATAGTATCTTTTACTTAACCTAGTTTGTTCAAAATGTTATTTTAATAAATGATCAATATTTTAAAATACTTGAGATATTTTGCTGTCATTTATTTTGTTACTAAGTCTTCAAATCCAATGTGTATTTTACACTTACAGAACATCTTTTCAGACTGGCCACACATGGCCAGACGTTACTGAGTGGTTTCAGTTTCAAGTTTTTCCTCGGAGACATCCTACTTGAAATTTCCATTCTCCATATATCTGGGCGGTTGGCCTGTAGACTTGCCCACTCACAGCTGTCATCTAGAGCTTTTCTTTTCTATTGGATACCCAGTTTCCTGGACTTCAGGTCTTCTCATTTCCCTCTGGTAGTCTCGCCAGGCCATGGTTGGTACGGCATGTTCATGCAGCTATCTCGAGTCGTACTTTTCCAATCCAGCCTGCTCGTTTCCCATGTATGACATGTAGTTGTTACCCTGTTATCTCGTCCCTCCAGGGTTTTTTTTGTTTTGTCTTTTTTTAGACGGAGTCTTGTGTCGCCAGGCGGGAGCCCAGTGGTGCAATCTCGGCTCACTGCAACCTCCGCCTCCCGGGTTCAAGCGATTCTTCCGCCTCAGCCTCCTGAGTAGCTGGGACTACAGGCGCGTGCCACCACGCCCGGCTAATTTTTGTATGTTTAGTAGAGACGGGGTTTCACCATGTTGGTCAGGATGGTCTCAATCTCTTGACCTCGTGATCCACCCGCTTCAGCCTCCCAAAGTGCTGAGATTCAGGTGTGAACCACTGCACCCGGCCCGTCCCTCCAATTTTTGCAGAAATTTCCTTTGTCTTCACTCTTGGGTCTTCACCCTTTACCCATGTATCCTATATCTTTCTCTTTTTTGATTTATTTCATCACGCAGATGGAAAACATGCTCCAGTGGGTTACTGGGAAAAGGGGAGCATGGATGATAAAACTTTTGAGACCTTACATGTCAGGTAATTTTTTTTTTTTTTTTGAGACGGAGTTTCCCTCTTGTTGCCCAGGCTGGAGTGCAATGGCACAGTCTCCGTTACCACAGCCTCCACCTCCCGGGTTCAAGCTATTCTTCTGCTTAAGCCTCCCAAGTAGCTGGGACTATAGGCACCCACCACCATACCCAGCTAATTTTTTGTATTTTTAGTAGAGACTGGTTTCACTCTGATGGCCAGGCTGGTCTCCGGACCTCAGGCGATCTACCTGCCTTGGAATGTTTTTATTGTCCCTTCTCATTTCAGGACGTGGGCTAGGTGTAGAATTCTAGGTTGGACATCATTGTTCTTAGGATCTTGAAGGCATTGCCTCATTGCTGACCAGGTTTCAGTGTTCTTGCAAAGTCTGAAGCTATGCTTATCACCTCAGCCTTTGAAAGTGAACTGCTTTTTCTCCCCAGAAACTTACAGAACATTCTCCTTGTCCCCAGAATTCTGCGATTGCAATTAATGTGCCTTAGAATGGGTCTGTTTTTATCATTATGATGAGTACTAGATGGGTCTGGGAGATTTTCTTGAATTACTTTTTGATGTTTTCTTTCCTTGTATTTTTTTTTTTATTTGCTTAATTTTCTGTTTTTTTTTTTTTTTTTTGTTTTTTTTTTTTTTTATTGGTTTTTTTTTTTTTTTTTTTTTTTTTTCTTGGTTTTACCTTCTTAGGAGGGGGGATTTCTTCTACTTATATTTGATTCTTCAGTTGAGCTTGTCATTTTTTGCTATCTCGTTTTTAAGTTTTGAGAGACGTCTTTGTTTTATATAACATTCCGTTCTTAATACATAGATACAAGAATCTTTTCTTTCTGAATATATTAATATATATTTTAAATCTTTCTATTCTCTGCAGTTTGTTTCCTCCAAGGGGCTTTTTTTCTGGTTTTTATTTTTTGTTTTTCTGTTAGAGACTTTCCTGTTATATCTGGTCACCAATGGTATCTGCACATGATGGAGAGTATGGGCTTATGGGAGAATGAGAGCCTTGAGCAGGTGTACGAGGCCTGTCAACACTGTGCTGGCCACAGGGCCTCTAGGGAGGCTGCCAGTCGCACACTCTGAGGATAATATCTTTTGGTTGTGCCTTTTGTGTGGTCAGATTATGTAGAGCTGCTCTGCCTCCTACCCAGAGGAGAAGGGTCTAGCTGCCAGCATCATGAGTGTCTCATGGGGAAAAGGACTCAAGTTCCTGGGGTTTGGCTTGTGCATGGCTGCTCTTACCCCGGTGTTGTGTTTTGTTTTGTTTTGTTTTGTTTTGTTTTTGAGATGGAGTCTTACTCTGGCATGATCTCAGCTAATGAAACTTCCAGATCCCTGGTTCAAGTGATTCTCTTGCCTCAGCCTCCCAAGTAGCTGGGATTACAGGCACACGCCACCACGCCCAGCTAATTTTTGTGTTTTTAGTAGACGGGGTTTCACCATGTTGGCCAGGTTGGTCTCAATCCCCTAACCTCGTGATCTGCCTGCCTTGGCCTCCCAAAGTGCTGGGCTTGCAGGCCTGAGCCATTGTGCCCAGTCTCTTACCCCGTTTTTGGTGGAGAACTCGCATCTTCCACTGTGCCAGCAGTCTTGCTGCAGTTCAGAGACCTTCTGGTTTACATTTGTCCAGAAAGCATGTCTTTATAGAGCTCTGCAGAAGTCTGAGGAGCATGGAAGGAGCTTGGGGAATGTGATGGCAATCCAAATCTTTCCAGATGGCTCTACCTTTGTACCCTGCAGGGAATCCCACTCCTCCCTCCAGACTGGGAGCAGAGCCAGAGCCTTTGGAGGACTCTGGAGTGGAAATCTGCGGTGGTTCTGGCTTTCCTACTGTTCACTTGTAATTGTGCTTTCTCACAAGTGCCAACCACTAATCAGCCTGATTTCCAGCTTCCGGAATTCTGTTACTGTTGTCTGCTCTCCTATTTTCACCTGGGAAGTGGGGCCTTTTTTTTTTTTTTTAATTATGGTAAAATATGCAAAACATAAAATGTACCATTTTAGCCATTTTTAGGTACACAGTTTAGTGGCAGTAAGTACATTCATGTTGTGTATATTTGTTTTTTAGTAATAAATACAAATAAAAGATGGTTGACTGTGACTATAGTGGAATTTTAGGTGTGATCTGGAGACATGGTGTAGTCTTCTGTTGAAACAGGGGTGGGAGGATTTGTTTACCACCTCCTAGGAAAGCAGTTGAATAGTTGATTGACATAGAAGTACATATTATCTATTTTTAATAATTGTAGCTTTATAGAAGTTTCGGTTGGAATCCCCAGGCCTGGCATTCAAGGCTCTCCAAGATCTGGCCTACCCACCCGTGTCCTCCAGCCATCTGTCGCGCCTCCTACTGCCCACGCACTGTTCCTGGCATAAGATGCAATCTCCAGCCCCCATGCCTTTGCCGTGCAGGGTGTTTTAGAGTGAATTGCCCCTCCTGCCTGTCTCTGCCCTCTTCCTCATCTTTCCATCTTCCTGTCACACATCACGGCCTTCACTCCAGGCCTGTGCTCATTCCTCCTTGGTTTTCGCCCGTGACCTGGTACATACCTCTGAATCGTTACCTTGCGTTTCCCATACTGCCTGGCTCTCTTTGATGTCTGTTTCTGTGCTGAGTTTTCTCAGTGCCTGGCAGTTAGTTAAATGTCTTTATTCTTTTTTGTAGGATATCCGACACGAAGCCAGTGACTTCCCATGTAGAGTGGCCAAGCTTCCTAAGAACAAAAACCGAAATAGGTACAGAGATGTCAGTCCCTGTAAGTATCCACGTGGCTGGTACCAGTCCTGCTCTTCCTTTGCCGCAGGCCCTTTTAGTCAAGACTCCTTTCACCTCGGGGTTTAGTATAATAAGAAATCGATAGTAGCAGAGGTTTATGACTTGATTGTTTCCTATAGTAAAGGTATTAGAGACTTATAGTAATGGCTAATTTTTCCACCATTATAGAAGGGATAAGGTTTCAGTTTCTGGAAAATTTAGTGAAGTTCAAAGCATTTTTTTTTTTTTTAGCTTACCTGTTTTTGTGATGAATCATTTTCCTACCAGCTGAAGCAGAGTATAGCAGGCATAATAAAACCTTTTCTGGATGACTCAGCAGCAGCGTCATTAGAACCCAAGTACTGTGTTCAGCTGTAATGAAGCCCCGCACAGGCATTCAGGGGTGGGCACTGTTGTCCCCTGCACTGAATATGCAAGGCAGCTCTGCTTGGAGTCCCCACCACCTCCACCCCCGCCAACTTCGTTTGTCATATTTTTCCCTTTCCTGCTGTTAGTTCTTCCTGGGATTGTCAGTGTGCCTGCTGGCCTGTGGCAGCCCTGTCCGCCTTCTGAGTGATTGGCTGTCAGTCTGCAGTGGCTGGAAAGTAAATAACATATTAGAATTGGCATAAAGTAGGAAAAACTGGAGATGAGTACAGGACTTGAACTGCACCATCTCCTCTAGACCACAGAGGCCTGTTTGACTCACCTCCAGGTCTTCAGACACCATCAGTCAGTGAGGGGTCGTAGCTGCCAGCGTCTCTGTGGTAGTATGCTCTGCCAGGGATGCAGAAGATTCACCAGTCATTCCTCCAGTGGGCACATCCTGCATCCCCTGTGCTTGTGGCTCTGACTGGTGGTTGGCAATGTTCTCTGCCAGAAGGGTTAGCAGTGCATCCTGACCTGACTTACATGGCGCCCAGATCCTGGGAGGGGTGTAAAAATGGACCTGGACTTGGTGTAGAATGTGCGCCTCTTGGCCTGCCACCATGGTTCCCTGCCTGGTTTTGTGTCAGCTCTGCCACTTAGAGCTGAGTGGCTTTGGGCAAATTATTCTCTCTCATGGGAGTGCATGAGGATGAACTGAAGCAATGTAAGCTGCTTAGCCCAGCGCCCGCTACCTCATACAGACATAAATACTCAGTAAATGTTGTCTGTGGTGGGGATGGTTGTCGCCGGCGTCTGCAATGCACTTCTAGATCATCAGGTGACATGATTGGCACCAACACATTGTACTCTTGATTTCACACATCTCAGCTGAGGTGCCTCATTGATGTTTGTTTAAAAACAAAAACAAAAAATCTTGGTGGTTCTGTTGGGAAGTCCTGTACAGAAACCACCAGGCCACTGACAGGTCTGACACGTGAGAACGTGACAGAAACATCACTGTCCACCTCTTGCACATGGTGCCAGGATACCCTGGGTCTCCAGCTTTTGCTCTACTTAGGGAATAATCTTGTCTTTAATATTCCTTTGCTACATTTTTTAACATTTCTTATCTAAATAGTTTTATAAATCAGTTTTGCAGAGAGAAAAATCAGTATTTAAAATATTTTTCCAGGGGCTGGTCCGAGTGCAGTGGTGTTTATAGCTACTTGATCATAACCAGTTACAGATTTCTTTGCTCCTTCTCCATGTCCACTGCTTCACCTGACTAGCCTTAAAAAAAAAAAAAAAATTCTTCCAGGGAAACGGTTCTCCAACTTTTCACTCCCCGTCTCACTCCTCATGTCTTCCTCCCCTCCTCCTGTCCTCCAGTAGAAACAGTCATTTGCTGTGAAGGTTGTGGGGGAGAATGAGTCAAGGTAGAAGCTGACCTCCTGCCCAGCTCACAGTGCTGCTGGTGGTGACCGCAGCTGGCAATTATGGGCACTTGCTGAACGAGGCTCTGTATGTATACACCTCAGCTCATTGACTCTTCCTTCGACCCTCTTGTCACCTACCATTTAACAAGTGAAAAAAACCAAGGCTCTGAGATCAGTTGATTGCCCAGAGTCACTCAGTGGCATTTGAACCCACTCACATAACCCACCAATACCATTATGTAATTATTTTTAGATCTTTTATCTCTGTTATCCACTCAGAAATGATCCTAGTATCTCTGTTTGTCTTAAGCCTCCATAATGAGAAATAGTATTCCAGGTGGTGGCTAGTTTTCAAAAGCATCTCTCTTTGGAATCCTTCTTTAGAACAAAAAGCCCCAGATCGCTTACTCCCAATCACGTCTCCTTTCCCTTTTGGTCCCAGGGAGAAGATGCTATTTATGGGTGGTCACCTGAGTTTATTGTCCCTTGTGCTGTGCCAGAAATAAAAGTACCCATCTGCTCTAATTAGCTCCACTAATAGGATAAGGAAAGTGGCCCTCAGGGAGCTACTGCTTTTGTGACAAACAAATGATACGAGAAAAAAAGTGCCTGTGTTTTTTCAGGGATCTGGGGCAGAACTTCCAGATGAAAGTTTATTTCTAAAAACTAAAAGGTACATTTAATATACTTTCAGTGTTTGGGATTCAGAGTTTTTTCCAGTTAAATTCTCTTTCAAATGTCTTTGTGATATGCTTTGAATTTTAAAAGTTTAGAATCACTGAAGTTCATTATACTTGAACTTAAAAAAACAAAACCTTGTGTACAGGTCAAGGTGTGACTTCATGCTGCTGTGTACTTCAGTCATTAATCTTCAAACCATTGGACAGAGGTTAGGTTGAAGCTCGATCTTAAATCCTACCTACTATAGCTCATTGTACCAGCAACAACTGTAGGGACTAGGTGGAATTTATGGTGGATTTTGATCCATTTTAAAGATTGAAGCCACCATATTTTTGCCCTATAAAAGTTTATGTTGGCTTACGCCTGTAATCCCAACACTTTGGGAGGCTGGGGCAGGTGGATCACTTGAGGCCAGGAGTTTGAGACCAGCCTGGCCAACATAGTGAAACTCTGTCTCTATTAAAAATACAAAAAGTAGGTGGGCCGGGTGACCCGCACCTGTAATCCCAGCTACTGAGGCAGCTGAGGCAAGAGAATCACTTGGACCTGGGAGGTGGAGGCTGCATTGAACTGAAAACATGCCACTGCACTCCAGCCTGGGCAACAGAGCGAGACTCCATCTCAAAAAAAAAAAAAAAAAAAGAGTCACGCATCAGAGAACAGATCCTTTGATGCCCCTCTCTGTCCTGGAAGGTTTTTAGGTAGAGTGATGAGTATCACCAGATATGACCTAAAAGCAGATTTCCAAAATAGGACATGATCTCTGTTTTTAGTATGCTTCCCGCTATTGCTACATAGCGTGAAGTTTCAAACACTTCAGAAAACCCTTTCTGAAAATCCCAGTCACCCCATACTCATGACTAATCTCAACTAAAACAGGGCGTTAGCCAGTGTGAATGCCCCTCATGCCACCAACTGACTTTTGCTTTTCTGTAGGGCATGCACCTGCATGTACACATTCTGCTTTTCTGAGATTAACCCCAGAGTTCTGGTTTGCCTTTCAGTTGACCATAGTCGGATTAAACTACATCAAGAAGATAACGACTATATCAATGCTAGTTTGATAAAAATGGAAGAAGCCCAAAGGAGCTACATTCTTACCCAGGTAAGCAGATTGTCCGAATTTTTTTTTAATGTGAAGAGTTTGAGAGGGTTGTTATCCACACCTCAAATAAAATCTGCCACATCCTTTAGAAGGTCAGGTTTTCAGCAAACCAAAAAGCAACAAAGAAGGACGGAAAATCTTCCTTCAAAGGTTCAGTTTGGTTGTAACACTAATCTTTTTTGGGAAGCATAAGATGACATTTCTGGGAATGAGAGCTTATAGAAAACAACATTCAAATGCCAGAGTCGCCTGTGGTCTGTTGGCAGCAGAGGCAGCAGAGCCGTGGCTGGAGGAGAGTCTGTACCTGCATTGCTTCCAGAAGTATTTGTCTCAGAGCGTCAAGCACTTGTGATGGCAAATCTAAGAGCATTAGCAGTAGAGCAGGAATCTCTGTCCAGAGCCATTCAGAATAGCTCAGCATGATCCTCATTTTTTCACCCAGAAAAACGGCATCATTAGATCATGTGAACAAGCATGAAAAATCACTTAAAATTTCGGCTGGCTTTTGGCATCTTTATGGAAACAAAATCCTGAACGTGGTTTAATAATTGAGCCTCTTGTAAAACACTCAGTGACATGTGACCAAAGAGTATCTGAGAAAGAGTTTCTTTTCAATTAATTTTCTCAAGTCTTAACTTGTTACCTATAAGTTGGTCTAAAAAGACTGGGTTTCTTGTTTCGTTTTGTTTTTCATCATAATTTTTGTTTTCTCGTTCCATGTCAGCTGATCAGCCTCATATGGCTTTAGGCTACAGGATGATTTTGAACATCCTGTAATTTGGCTTTAAGTTTAGAAATTAAAAGTCTGGGGAAGCCAGAATGCACTGTGAAGAAAGGCCGCTTTGAGCCAGGAGCTAGGTCAGGGTGCATTCAGCTGAGGCCTTTCTTCACTGCCTTTTTGTCCCTGTCCCAGTTCCTCCCCCTTTATGACCAAAATCAGCCCAGATGCCTCTGGTCATCTTGGATGTAGGGTATCAGCCCAGCTGTGTTCAGTCCTGTGGGGCCACTGAGTAAGTTCTTGGTGCATGAATACAGGGCCGATCTTACCAGGCTCTGAGCCCCTGGTCCTCCCAGCACCTCTGGGCATTTAGGGGAGGCTGATTGGGGAGGGGGTTAATAAGGAGGGAGATGCCTGGGGATGAGGTTGAGGCAAAAGTGACTTTTTGAGGACTTCACTTTTTGGAAAAGTCAAATTTCCTACCTTCTGATTTCAGCCATTCAACTCTGTTGTGGACTCAGGAAGCCCTTTAAATACCTGGTAGAGGGTGTATCATGCCAAGTGTTGCATTGGAAATGACCATGGACACTTGCGCTGCTGTCCTGCCTACCCCACATCCTAGCATTCTTGGGACATGGGAAGCTCTTTTTGGTTTGTGAGGTGGCCCTGGGGATGTCGAGAAGCTGTTTACACAGTTTCCCTTTGCCATGGGGATTTACTAAAGGAGTCAAGGCAGCCTGACCCCAAAGCATCACCCCTGGACACTATGACCGAAACATTTCTCTAGCGCTCAAACCAGGAACACCCTTCCCATTTTTTTTCCAGTGTTGTTCATTATGTAATAATACAAGTCTCTCTTCCCATTTCGTAAAAGTCAGAAGTATAGAAGAGCAGAGAATAACGTCCAGGGGCCCTCCTTCACCTCCCCCATGCAGTGTCAGCTAAGGGTGGTGTGTGTCCTTGCAGAACTTACAAGATTGTGATCCTTCACAGGTAAGGGAGGGCACCAAGGGAGTAGTGGAGAGCTGCAGTGACTGGGGTCTTCATGCCAAGGCAGAGAATGCAAGGCCCAGGTGGCCAGCCAGGTGCCACAGGGTTTCTGGCTGCCAGGAGCTGTTTTTCTGTTTGCTGGGGAGGGAGGAGTTAAATGTGATCTGCTTTTTTGCCTTCAGCACAGGGAGTGCTGACTTTTCTTGTTCAGGCAGTAAGTTCAAGATGAGCTCAGGAAAGAAATGAAGAGAACATTGAGGGCTAGCCTGGTTGAGCCAAGTAGGATGGGACTTAAAGGGAGAAGATTGAAAGAATAAGGAGCTTATGGGCCAGGGAAGGTGGCTCACGCCTGTAATCGAAGCACTTTGGGAGGCCAAGACAAGTGGATCACTTGAGGTCAGGAGTTCAAGGCCAGCCTGGCCAACATGGTGAAACCCCATCTCTACTAAAATTATAAAAATGATCTGGGTGTGGTTGTGGGTGCCTGTAGTCCTAGCTACTCAGGAGGCTGAGACTGGACAAATTGCTGGAACCTGGGAGGCAGAGGTTGCAGTGAGCCAGGATTGTACCACTGCACTCCAGCCTGGGTGACAGAGCGAGACTCTGTCTCAAAAAAACAAAAAAAAAACAAAGCGGGGGGTGGGGGAGGGGCTTAAATGAAAACAGGTGAGAATGGAAACTGTGAGAAGAAGTGGTGCTGGACAAGCACATGACAAATTCTGATGTGGAGGTGATAGATGAGGTCTCTTCCAGGCACTGCTAATAATTGAGACAAACTCAAGGCATTTGTACCCTGTGTCCAGTAAACATCTGTGCCCATTGCCAGGTGAGCTGGAGTGAGATGGGCTAGCTGCTCAGCAGGTACCCTCATGCCACAGTGACTCTGTTCCCCCTTGGGCTACCTGAATGACCATTTGTGTTCTGACATCTCCTGTGTTCATTGGTCCAAGGATGGAGGCTGTCTGCCATCAGGGTCATCATGGCTAATGGTAGAAACAGTTGCTGACGTTTCATTGGGTGTTTACTGCATTCTAGGGACTGTCCTAAGTACTTTATATAAATGAATGTACTTCATTTTCACAGCTCTATGAATAGGTACTATTATTAGTCAAGTAAGCGATGGGGAGACTGAGGCAGGGAGAGATGAAGTGACTTGCCCAAGGTCACAAGGTGATGTGATTGGAGCTGGGACTGAAACCAAGAGAAGGGTCATGGTCATGCCCCTACACTGCCTCTCGCCTGCACCAAGGAGTTTTGTCCCATAGCCCAAGGACCTTGGAGATGAATCTCAGTGGCAACCTTTAGCCAGCCTGCCTGAGCCAGAAAGCAGAATCCAGCATTTTTCTGTCCTTGGTTGGCCAGCTCTGAACTGAGAGGCAGAAATGGCCTTTTGCTGCCTGGTAGAAACTGAACTGCAGTTACTGACCACCAGGCAGGGAGAGATAGGTCCCTGTCCTAGCCTCCCACCACTCTGCCTAAGCTGTGAGGACTGAGGGCACTATCATTAGCTGACTACAGAAAGTGAGCACCTGCTGTAGATGTTTATGTTTCGTAAGTCACATGCTGCGTTACTGTGTCTTTGCAGGGTCCTTTGCCTAACACTTGTGGGCACTTTTGGGAGATGGTATGGGAGCAGAAGAGCAGGGGTGTCGTCATGCTCAACAGAGTGATGGAGAAAGGCTCGGTAAGTCTCAGATTCATTGGCTGTTCATGTGACCATGCGTATCACTCCATACAGTTACCGTTTTCATCTAGATGTTTACATTTTTTTTCTTGCTTTTCTATTTCCTTTACATACTATCATTTTTTAAAAAATATTAAAACAGCAGCATATAAATGCATGTTGGTTGTCAACAAGTTAATGAAGTGAGTGAAAGGGAGGATGCAGAATTGCACTGGCCTCTTTGGCCACTCCCTCTGCATGTGTGATGTGGGCTGCTCCCCCCACTTGTGCTGCCTGCGCACCTCTTGTCTCAGTGTGGACTTGTGTGTGGAGTTATGGAGACCTGCTTTTATCTTGAAAAGCAAGTTCTTAGTGCATCTTCATGGTGTCTGATATTTTGGCTGGTGAGAGTGTGGCTTCTGTGGAGCTACCTCTGTGGAGCTGTGGGAGCGGCTCACTCTAGAGATTTGTCTGCATTCAATACCCAAACGCCTGGCCCTGCCACCCCTCCTGAGTGAGCACTGGCTTCAGGATGTGTGTCATTCTGAGTTCTTGCAACTTTTCAAACACCCCTTGGGCTAGTGTGTGGCTGCACGGTGCCCATTTGTGCAGGCCACCACACCTGCATCTGTGTCGATGTGTCTAGTCACCTCTCCTTATTGACTTGTTCCCCTCGGTTCATTTTGTACCATGCTTCCAGAATGAGCTTTCTCAAATCCAAGTCTCACCACAGTTCTTCCCAGCTGAAAACCCTTGTGCGGTCCCTCTGCCTCAGGGTAATCCGTGGTGTAGCTTACGGACACCTGTGGGTCTGGCCCTGGGCCCCTGGACACAGACCTCTCACCGCTCTTGAAACTTTAACCAGGACAAACTTTTCTGGTTTTAGTTTCTTGCCTGGGCTACGGAGTCCCAGTGCCCAGGCTCATCACACTTCCAGGTACCCCTGGATGGCTGCCCTCAGCTCCCCAGCTGCCTGTACTCTCCCCTGCCGCCCTTACTCTGTTGGGATAGCCGAGGACAGCCGATATCTGGACAGCCACTCTCCTGTGTAGACCATCTGTGTAGACTGTCCTGTGTAGATTTTATATATTGACTGTCCTGTTTAGACTGTGTAGACTGTCTTATGTAGATTGTTTGTATAGACTGTCCTGTGTAGACCATCCCATGTAGGCCGTCTGCCTATGCAGGCACAGGCCAACATTGAGCAGGGCCACGGGCTCCTCGGCGTCCCAGCCCTTGCTGCTCCCCAGCACTGCCAGCCCTGCACAGGGTCCAGGAGGAGGTGAGCTGAGGATTGTGGAGACCAGTAGGAGTGTGGGCCCAGGAGCCAGCAGTGTCCCTAGGCCTTGCCAGGTCCAGGCTCAGCTGGGACACCGCTCTCACAGCTGTCCTGGTTGCCTCTGGTCACAGAAGAACGTGAGGGCTCCAGAGAGGCCACCCTTCCAAAGAAAGCACAGTCATGGCCCTAGAGTGTAACAAATCCAAGTATTAAGAAGCAACACATCAAAGGAAACTTCAGCAGCGAGCACTTGAAGCATTAACCACAAAGCCTCTCCTCTCCACCAAACACAAAGACACGGCTTAGTTACTCCCATGAAGTATTCCTCATAGGACAGCACATGTTTAGAATCATAGGGGTTTGTTTTGTTTTGGGGTTGGGATTTTTCTTTTTTCTTTTTTGTTTTTTCCCCCGCCTTTGCCTAATGAAAGTATTTATTTGCCCAACAATAACAGATAGGGAGCTTGCCTGAGTGTTCCCTTGATGATATAATGTATCATGTTTTAGAAAATACTTTTTTCAGTGAAAGGTGGTTCTTAAACTTTTTCTTCCTTCCTTAGTAGCACGATTAGTAAAACGTTAAGTTACAAATGTGAAGCAAACCCCCACCCTTCACCACTTGTCAGCAATTTTGAATTAAAGAAAGGAAGCATTAGGTTCTCACAGCACACTGCAAGGGAGGGGAAGCCTGGCGGCTCCTGGGAGCGTTCAGCACAGCGCCATCTGCAGGCTTCCGACCCTCAGCACCACTGACTCTTGGGATGGATCATTTCTCTGCTAGGGATGGGGCAGGGAGTGGCTTGCTGGGCTTTGTAGGATGCTTAGCAGCATCTTTGGCCTCTACCCACCAGATGCCAGTAGTACCCCCTCCCCAGATGTGGCAATCAAATGTGTTTCTGTCTAGACTCCAGACTTTGTCTAGTGCCCCCTGGTAGGCCAAACTGCCCCTGGTTGAGAACCATTGCTCTAGATGGTATTGAGGGTTGGGAATTTTAAATCAAGACATTTATTCAGAAATTACCAGATACAGTAGCACTTGCTTTTTTACTTCTTTGTTGCCAAATGTTTGGCTGACCCTCTTTGCTGTGAGCACAAGGTTTGCTTTAGCGGTGGTTGTCACATTACAGCAAGGAGCAATGCCCAATGCTGTAGTTACCTGTTTGAGTGGTGTTCAGCACTGTAGGTACATGTTCGAGCGGTGTCCAGCGTTGTAGTTACGTGTTCGAGCTTCATCAGGCCCTGTGCTTTGTTGTCTGTGGCCATAAATGGCCCACAGTTCCACTGTGACAACCTTTCCCTTTGGGTTACTGTGGTGGCATCAGAAACATAGCTGGCTGGCTTTGCTGTAGTTACTGTGATAACTGGCCAGCAGTCCCTGCTTTCCTTTGTAAGTATCCCATTCCACTCGAGGATTATTTGGGCATGCAAATTGGTATGAAAAGCAATGTATGGTTTGAGATTCTTAAAGTTTCTTTGGGATCAACATTTTCAATTCTGTATCTGCATTATCCCTCCCAGAGGGCTGGCTGGGAAAAATCCTGAGAAGTTACAGCATCTTATTTGCTCAGCTAGTCTAATTATAAATGATCCACACAGCTCACGGTAAAACCAGCTTTGGGGGAGTTTTCATTGAATACATACTTGTTTTCTGATTTCCTTCCTTCATCAAGTAGTGGAGGATGCTCACTCTTTTGGCAAACATGCCTATTATCTTTTGGGACCCTGGGCCCTGGAAGCCAGTTATGCAGAAGATGATTGTGTGTGTTAGACTGGGGTCATCCAGATGGCCAGAGTTGTCACTAGTTCAATTGAAGGATTGACTTTAGACATGTCAGTGTAGGCTGTGCATGGCGTAAGGGCTTGGATTGTTGTTTAGCTGGGGGAAGTAAGCAAGACGAGTTTAATTGGCCATTGCAGAATATCACCTGTATCTCCCTCCTAAAATCATTACCAAACTGCTGTTTGCTTTCATGCACAAGGCATTGCATTTTGTATCGCAGGGCCCATAAAATTCATTTTTCTCTCATACTTTAGTTCTCTGTGTTAATAATTTCTGGTGAAACCAAGTTACCTGTCACACACAGGGTTGCTGTAGATGTCTTTCATGGGTTTTCCTAACATCGCCTGCCCACTTGTTTGGGAAGGCCTCAAGGACTCTAACATCCGTCTTCGTGGTGGAAACAGCCACAAGCGATGCCAGCATGTTGGCATCGCTGTGTTCCTCTGGTGCCAGCCTAAGATATGACTCAATTTGAGGCGTGGTGAAGGAAGGACTGCATTCTAATAAAAATCAATCTACTTTTCATGGCAGTGTATATCAATATAATAGGGTAACTGGAAGTAGTGATCTTGTCCCTTTTAAAACAAACATTTCTACTGGAAATGACAGAGCATAGCTTGTTGCTATAGACACCTAAGAGTCCTTTAAAAAAAATATTGGGTGGTTGACAGTTGTGTTCCAGATTCCTCAGTTGTAGATTTCCAAAGCGTTAGTCTTTACCCAGATTACAGAGGGTTATTAGGTGTCGGGTTTGGTTTTGAAAGTGAGTGCTTGCTGTCTGGAGGTGAGATTTAAGACTCATCTACCCTGCTCATGAGATGAGGAATGGTGGCCTCTTCCTCCTGCATTTCTGTTCTTTGCTACCTTCTCTGTCTGCGCACTGTGTGGAATGCCCACCCCAGCATAGGCTGTGTGGAACCTGTCATATCAGTCTCATTTCTGTGGTCTTGAGGCATTGATCTAGTTGTTAGAAGTGTGGGAGTAATTCATCTTTTCACGTTCTTCTAAGTTCCTGCTTTCAGCTGCCACACTCACTCTGGCTAAGTGGGGGTCTTGCCACATAATTAGCGCCTTCATGTAGAGTGGCAGAATTGCTTCAATGGTGACAGATTGTCCCCATTCAAGGGTTCACTTTTGGCAACCCATAACTGATCCAGGGAGGTCACATGGGTGAAACTAGCTAAGATTTCAGACAGGCCCGTGTCCAGACTCTTGAGAAAGCTCTGTTGGCCTCTGGTCTGGCCCTGTGAAGTTTGGTGCCATGCTGGCATCACAACCAGCTGTTTCCTAATTTGTTTCTCCCACATTTTGCTTTGGTTGGTCTTTGGGCAGCTTCCAGCTTCAGTAGAGCTGGACCAGTAGGCATTTGAGGTTCTGTATTCACCCTCCTCGAGTGCTTCCCGGCTTCTCATTGCCCCCAGATGATGCCACAGGTCCCTGGGCCTGCTGCCAGTCAGCTGTGATCTGGGCCTCTGCTGGCCCCTTCTCCAGCTGCTCTTTTCAGCCTGGCTTATTTGCAGTCACTGCCTAGGAAATCCTAGTCACCCTCCAAAACCGGCCCCTTGCACAGAGCTTTCTCTGATCTCCCTTTCCTGTAACCTTGGCTGACCTGAAACATTTCCCTCTTTGGAATTCCTGCTGCATGTCCATAGCATTTCCCCCTCAACCCTCCCCCAAAGTCCACCTTGTCACTGCTGGGCACAGGAGTCTCTCCTGACAGACAGCTGGCCCTGAAGCAGCTCCCTTCACCCACACCATCCTTTGCCCCAGAGGAGGTATTGAGTGGGTCAGTGCACGTGACCTGCAAGTGTCGTTTGCCAAAGAGCTGTTGACACACACTGACAGTTCTTTTGCTGAAAATCATGAGGGCTTTGACTTTCCCTCTGTCTAGGCACATGGTCGGGCTGACCCATCAGCTCTACCCCTGCTGACCTGCCATTTTTCTCCACAACAGTTATCCACGAGCAGAAACGTTTGTGTAACTGAGGCAGAAACTTACTTCAAGTAAAATGTCACTAAACTCGAGTCAGTTTTTGTCCTGACCCTAAATGAAACCAAATTTTCATAAATTTGCTTGTTTTAAAGACAAATTTAATGAGCTGCATTTAAATTGAGAACATCAAGTAGTTTCTGAGATTATCAAAATGTAACATCAAAAGTATTTTTCTGAATGAACTGAACCAAACGAGAATGAAAGGGCAAGTCCTGGGGAGCCTCTCCAACCTTCTCTGAAAGTTCGTCTGCATCTGGTGACAGCCTTTCAGCCTCTCCAAACGGCCTCACCTGCCGTCTCTCCTGCTTTTATTTTTAATTGCGTGTGAGTTTTCTGTGCAGGGTAAGGCACCTGCATTCTATGCCAGCAGCCCTGATCAGGTCCTGGGTAATGTTTGAAATGGCTATGTAGAGGAGTTTTGAAGCCTTTTGTACAGGCTGGCTTCACCTTGTCGACAGTAAGAAAGGATCAGAGCCCTGCAGGACTTCATTGCCGTGTTTGACTGGGGAGCTGAAGGGTTTGGAAGTCTGAGCCCTGTCCACACAACTGGCCCCGGTCAGCAGCTTCGTGCCTCCACCCCCCGCTCCCCATGAGGCAGGCATCTCTGCTGATCATGACTTCCACGTTCAGAAAACCCCAGGCCTTTGGGTTACTATGAAGCTTGTGGAATGTGCTCCAAGTCTCCTGCCATAGGAAAATGGTTGCTCACACTAATTCTCTGTTATTTGTTCCCCTAGTTAAAATGCGCACAGTACTGGCCACAAAAAGAAGAAAAAGAAATGATCTTTGAAGACACAAATTTGAAATTAACATTGATCTCTGAAGATATCAAGTCATATTATACAGTTCGACAGCTAGAATTGGAAAACCTTACAGTAAGTGTGGCATGCCCTTCAGCACTGCAGCTTCCTTTTCCCCCTTGGGTGATATTACCTAATGCCAGTGTTCCTGGCTCTTGTATACCCCAGCAAGATGTGGTTTTGGCACTGCGGTGAGCGGGACTTACTTGTGTACCTACCGAGTGCCCCGGAGTGTCCGGGAGAGTGGAGGCCATAGTGCTCTTTCTGACCTTTAACAGCAGTTCTTAGGGAAAGAGTTTCTTACCCAGAAGACTGGTTCCTGCTTGTGCAGCTGCAGAGGGACTGAAGCAGCAGCTTGCAAGTCCCAGCAAAACGTGCTGCCTTCTTGGTGGTCCTCAGTCTTTTGAGTCTGAAGGGAGAGAAGAAGGGGTCCCGGGCTCACTCTGGTTTCTTAGCTAGTGGAAGTTTTCTGGGCCAGGTCTTGGGTTTATTGTTGTAGGAAGAGTTTATAACACCAGCTACTTGCTTGGTAAAAGTTGGTATCAGAACATGGCAAGTCATTGTGGTAAGCAGCACTGCCACTGAAGGCTCTGCTCCTGGAGCTTCAGAATCATTCCCCTGGAGCCGGAACTTGGAGGAGTTCATGCCATTGCGGGGAACAGTGGAGGGAGCGTGAGGCAGCCCCTGGGGCACCAGTGAAAGCTGACCAGCCACCAGCAGCCTCTGGAACCTAGCTGGGTCGAATCCTTGGCCCCACTTTATCAGCCCATCAGCTTGGAGCAAGGGACATCACTTCTCATCATGTCTTGGTCTCTTCTGTCGAACTCAGGTTTTGCGAGGGCCCTGGGAGGTCCTGCATGGGAAGGGTTAGCAGTTACCATGGGTGTGTAGCATGGGCTTTGTCTGACGGGAAGGTGGAGCCACGGGGAGACTGTGTGGAGTGGGGCTCCACCCTGTGTCGCAGGGGAGGGATCTGCTTCTGGGTGACCCCATGTCTCCCCTTCTTAAGCACTGCTTTTTAGTCATTGTGGCTCCTGTCGTTCCGAGTTGTAGGCCGAGTGCGGTGGCTCACATCTTTAATCCCAGCACTTGGGGAGGCTGAGGCCAGGAGGATCACTTGAGGCCAGGAGTTCAAGACCAGCCTGGGCAACATAGCAAGACCCCTGTCTCTACAAAAAAACAATTAGCCAGACAAGGTGGTGCTCTCCTGTAACCCCAGCTACTCAGGAGGCTGATGGCAGGAGGATTGCTTGTGCCTAAGAGTTCAAGGCTGCAGTGAGCTATGTATCACTGTGCTCCAGCCTGGGTGACAGGGCAAGACCCTGTCTCAAAAAAAAAAAAAAAAAGAAGTTCATCATCGGGCTTGATTTAACAGAGGAGCCGGGCCATCCCCAGTCAGCACCTCCCAGGCCAGGTCCGATTACCCCAGCTTCTCAGCTTCCTACAGCTGTGCCCCACAGTGGGCCACTCACCCTCAGAGCCCTCATGTCTCCAGCTGATTTTTGCTTGCAGTTGGCCCACTTCTGTTCGTTATTCTGCCTGGAACCCTGCGAGTCATTGAGTCCTCATTCAACCTGCTCCTGGGTGCTCATCACAGGCCCAGTGGGGGGCCTGGCTCCAGTCCAGGTTGCCCTCTGTAAGCACCAAGCTTGATACTTGATAATTAATGTTGTTGCCAGGAAGCTCTGATGCAGCCATTCACAGACCCAGGTGATGGTGGAAAAAACGTCATTCTTCCTATAAATGCTTCCCACATCTCACTTATTTTCACTACAGGGAGCTTTTTGCTTTCAGGTTTTTGCCTCAGAGATTCGTCGCTTTCAGGGAATTATCCCTGTATCAACTATTCTGTCACTGTTGCTTTGCATTGCTGCATTAATAACAATAAAAAGGAACTCATGTTCATCAAGAAAAAGCAGATCTTTAAACTTCAGAAGGATACATTGAAAAAAAATGATAAAAATGCTTAGAGATTGAGATTACTTCTTCAAAGCTCTGGAGAGACGAAAAACACATTGGCTATTTACATATAGACAGGCTATTTGGTAAGGTCAAGAGTACAGCATTTCAAACTAAATGTTCTAAGATATTAACTGGCGTTTTTACCCATGTGGGTGTCGTAGGCCTCCAAGTGAGGCTCAAAGCTATCCATTTATAGAAACGTATTTGTAGTGATAGTCCTGGTATAGCGCAAATGTATCCAGAACTTGACCTGAATTATAAATTAATTCTCAACACATTTTGCAAGACAATTCACTGCGTTTGGGAGTTAGGAGAAACTTTGTGCTTTCTACAGGGTAGATGCAGCTTCCTGCCTACCCCATCTCAGTACGCAGACAGCTGGCTGGCTGTCATGATGACCACGCAGTAAATTCGTGACCCTGTACCTCAAGGGAACAATTTGCACTCTCAGGAAGCATTGCTGTGCTTCCTTAGTCCACCCACTCTCCCAGCTGCTCACCTTCATCCTCCTCAAGTCCCCAGGATGCCTCCATAATTCTCACAGTTTTAGTTCAATGAGAAAACACAGTTATCTTCAGAAGACAGTATCCTTACTCACTTGCCATCACAATTCTAACCTGGCCACCCAAATACCCAAATAGCCTGCCTTGACTAAGGTCATCAATCACATCAACTCCTCTACTTGTTCATTACACCATCCTCTGTCCCCTCCCGAAGGACAACATGACAGCAATTGTCCCCTCTCTCCTCCATCACCATGTCTTTAATATCTTCTGGATCATCCCATCAGCACACAAATATGTCATTATTTCTTCTGTTTAAAACACCTTCTCTTGCACTCAGTTTCATCACCCCTCACTTCTTTGTCATCCTTTATAGCAAAGCTTCTCAAAGTTATTTCCAATCCTTCTCGTCTCACTCTCCCTCAAGTCTACTTCAATCTGTCTTTCACTTCCTCTACTCCTCCAAAACTGCACTTGTCAAGGTCACCAACAACCTTACGTGGAGAACAAATATTTGGTGCATGAATTAATAAGGTAAATACTGCACACAAAGTAGTAAATGGATCTAAACAATCTTTGCCTAAGTCATCATTTTGCTGGAGGCCAGGCATGATTAAATATTAATGATTACTATCATTAGCACAATAACAATTAACAAAAAAACTATTTTGCTTAGCTGGGAGAAATTCTACTAAAAATAAAATCAAATTTCTTGGAAGTTAATAACTCCAATAATTTTTGCCAGTCACCTTAATGAGTCTATCGTTGTGCTAATGAGCTCGTTCCTAATTTCCGACAGCTTCCAAAACATTTTTAATCACCAAAAAAGTGATCCATAGATTAGTTTGCAGAGATGCATCAATATCAATCACCACGATACAGAATTTTTAAACAAACCATTGCTGGGCAATCTGGCAGACAGAGAGCCCATATGAGAGAAATGTTTGCACTAGCCAGGTGTATGATCGCTTAGGTTATTCACAGACCAAAGCTGTTGCCTCCATTGTCTTTCTTCTGGGGTCTCAGTAGGACGGGTAGTGATACCAAAACAGGAAGAAATTGTAAACTTTCACACATCTAACTTTTAAACGTTGGAGATTACTCTGAAATAATGACCTAAGGTCAGGATGTATACATGTTTTTAAAGTACGTTAAGATGGCTACTTGTCTTATTTTTTGTTGTTGTGACTTTATTGACATAGCAAGCAGAGCTGAAGTGATGTTTATGAACAAGTAGCATGGACTTTAGCATTTAAATTTCATCGAGTTGGAGAAAGCAGTCCCTCCTCCCTCCCCCAGGCCTGCAAGGGAGTACAGGATGATGTTGGTGGGTCGCTTAGGTCAATTCAGGCAGCAGCGTCAATAAACCCTGCCTACTGCAAACACGTTCCCACTGTGTGAAGGGCTCTGCCCAGGGTCAGCAAACTGCAAGTCACTGTTGGTTCACTCTTGAACAGCTTCATAAGATGAGAAGATTCGATATTCACAAAATCTAAATCTCCATGAGTATGTCAAAAGATAAAGTTACTCTCACTCCAAATTTCCAAATTTAGTTATAGAACAAATTGGCTTTTAATCAAATTAATGAATCAGGCAGTCTCCATTCTACAAAATAGAATGAGCACTCCTATTAAGCAATGTCAGAAAAGTAGGTTTTGTAAGATGGAAACGAGGAAACAGAAGAGTGGAGAAAAACTGACTGGTTAACTTCAGGTTATGTTTATTGTAAGAGTTAAAGCAAAGGGGGCTTCCTTACTAGTGGATTCAGGTAGACTGTACTCCTGTTTTCAGGAAAAATTGGTTTGTTTGGGGATCCATTTACTTCCTTAAAGTTTCTATTTCATTATGTGCATTTAGTATGAGTGCCTCTGTTTTGGCTTAGTCTGGTTTGTTGGGCCTAGGGCAGGAACTCAGTCCAGTACAATGGCCCCCCATAATATTTTTAAAACATCATAATAAAAGTCATAAATTAAAACACTTTTTTTGTGTGTTGGAGCCTAACTCTGTTTCCCAGGCTGGAGCACAGTAGCATGATCTGTGCTCACTGCAACCTCTGCCTCCTGTGTTCAAGTGACTCTCCTGCCTCAGCCTCCCTGAAGCTGGGATTACAGGCATGTGCCACCACGCCCAGCTATTTTTTTGCATTTTTAGTAGAGATGAGGTTTCACCATGTTGGCCAGGTTGGTCTTGAACTCCTGACCTCAACTGATCCACCTCAACTGCCACCCAAAGTGCTGGGATGACAGATGTGAGCCACCATGCCCATCTGTAAATCAAAACATTTTCCATCATTTATAGCTCCTTTTATTAATCCGTTCCATTAGGAGAGTGCATTTGATTAGATTCGAAAGAACTTGAGGTTAAAATTAGTTAGAACCAAAAAAGAAAAGAAGAAAAATCTTCTGAGCCAGTTCAGATAGCTCCTGGGGGAAGAAGAGGGAATTTTGTTTAGCCCACTCTTCTGGGTTTTATGCTATTCTTGGGAATTTCTTAGATCACTGGCTCCAGTCTCCATAGGATAAATCTGAGATTAGGTGTTCCATTTTGTTTGTGACAATTTAATAAGGGTTACAGTAAATTTCAAGCAACAGGAGGAACCCTGGGATGGTGCAGAGGATCAGAAATGTGTCCAAGAATGTTTGGAAGAGAGTCTAGGCTGTCCCGATCACATACATGGATGACATGGATGACAAGGCACAGCCTTCCCCGGGGCTTTCCCAGCAGGCTCACATCCGTGTGCTTCAAAGTGGTCATGTTTCTGCATCATCCCTGCAAGATCAACATCGCTGACTGGAACCAGGAATCTGCATTTTCCCTGCTTGCCAGACTCTTCAGACCCTATGCTTCAGTTTGAGAACCACTGCTCTCCAAACTAAAGCCAGCCGTAGGCATTTCTTCACTGTGGTTCTCAAATTTTAAATTGTACCAGCAAGCAGCAGGCCCTAGTCCTTTTAAAGATTAAGTGATTTAAAAGGGAGCATCTTTCATGTCTCAGCTGCCTGTATTGAGATAATTAAGGATAAATGAAAATGCATAGCGTGTCCTACAGGCTGGTGAGCCCACACCTGTTCGTTTGAATACTTCGTTCAAACCATGCTAAGTGAAAATGTCTCCCACCTATTTAGTATTCTGTAGCTTCAGAATTATCCCAAATTATTTCATTTTTTATGAGGCTAAGGTTTTGCCTGTTGACTGTCCGGTGTGAATTACATCCCAGTCAATGGAAGGAAGAAGAAACAGAAAACACTTCCATTTGCTAGTAATCATTTGCGCTGAAAAATAGCATATTCATTTCTTGCAAGTGAAGCAAATAATTTATTTTGTGGTTGAAATGTTTTATTATTTCCAGATACTTTCTACATTGCCTTGTTTACCCATTAGGGTGGAATGCTCAAAAGATTTTTGTCATATTCAAATTTTATATCAACCTTGAGTGATAAGTAATATTAGACATGGCAAATAAATAATTTTATTTCTAGTTTTTTGACTCCCCATCCAATTTTATTAAGTACTATTATGAACAGAGATACCATTTTTTTAAAATAAGAGGATTTTAAAAATGAAGTAGGTGATATAAGCCCTTTATTTAAGAAGTTGCTATCTATTTACATTTACAAAAGAAGA